TCTAAACGGTTGAAAAGGTGGGGTGGATGAAAGGTAGGAACCTGCTGTTAAGATTCCAACGAAGAGCAGCTGCAAGCGCGTTAGTAGCATTTGGCTCACAACTAGATAGTTAAAAGTCTACATGAACGAAATCTCCGAGGCCGTGGAGGAATGGAAAGGGGGAGGGGGACATCCTCCGCAATGAAGAATGAAAGTTGCATCTACAAAAATCAAAGAGCACAGGAAGGCCCAGCAAATGCTGAAGTACATGGAACTCAGGTAGCCTTGGCTACCTCTAAGTGATCCATGCGCTTCTGCATCAATGATCATCTGTGTATGAAAATAGGCACTGTAAGCCCCAGCCTCGCAACTGGCCAAGGCCACTTCCTCGGAAAAGTCAAAACCACCAGCCACCACCATGCGGCCTCGTCGATGGGGGCAACGGTTGGACAGTAGCGGCTTCACAGCCCACAGCCGCAGGGCCTGACGTAGTCGAAGAGCCGCTGGAACACACCCCTGCTGCGCAGCGGCCTCAGGCTGAAGCGTTTGGGATAAAGCGACTCTGGCCATGCAGTGCCCTAAGGCCCAACTGCGTGACATCTGGGCGATGTGCCTATGACCGTGCCTGGTTACCTGCCTGACAATGGTAAGCGTGACCAGTAGCCGTGGCCGTGGTAGGTTAGCGGGTAGCGGCGCGTGGCGCTCACTGTTTTGCTGGTGCTGCCGCCTGTTACCAAGCCTAGTCCTTGCACCTTGCAACTACCACGCTGGCATCTTGAAATCTTTGAACACTTTGAATGAAATTCTATTTGACGGACTGAATGTCGAACGGTGATAAAGTTTTATGAGCCATTCTCATTCCTCGATTGGCAGATTATTTTGGGGTGACATGTGAAAGGCACCGTGCCTGGTGGTTCCACCAAGAATGACACATTTTTCCAAAGCATGGATGGAACACAAGAAATATAGTTAATTTATAGCAAGAAATATAGTTAGTTTATAGAAATATGTGAAACCACCTCACTTGAGCTGTAAGATTCAGCTGACCATCAGAAAACTCGTAGATCCGAAGCCGCCAAAAACAGGCGCGGCGCGTCCGCCAGTGGGAAGGATGCTTTCGCTTTAGCTCGATTTCCGCCAGTTGATGGATTTGCATATGATTTATGTGTACCCCTTGGAGAAACACATTTTACTCTCCAATGAACTTGACTTCGTAAGATGAATCTCCTGGTGATCATTGCTTGGTTTCAAGTGGGCCTGAGCCGCTCCAGTGAGACACAGAGCGAGTTTTCACGAATCCTGAGGGCTCCATGATATCAACCTCAAATATCTCCCTACCAAGTTTCGTCATCAAATCACTTAAGGAAGATTTTTTGGACCCCTTTTTTTGGGAGATTTTCAGGGAGCATCCAATATTACAGTAGTATCCCCATAGGCATCCCCAGTTTTTTTCGTTTCGATCTCCGCCATCGCCCCGAGGTTGTGACCAACGACCAACAGTGTAGAACGGAGCCAAAGAATCGGTCAACCGCGGAGATCTGGGTGGTGCAATTTCACCATAGGTAAACATAGAAAAAGCTATTGAACATGGCCATTGAAATAGTGGTTTTACCATGTTTTACCCATTAATAGCATGGTGGATCTTTCCATAGTTATGTAAACTCGTTTACCAGAGGGTAACCATCTTGAAAAATGATGGAGTTCGTCGGGAAGGATGACATCCATTCATATGAAATGGAAAACAATCCAGCCATCTTTATGGATGGCGCAGTGCAGCAGTGCAGCATTCCTATGGCCGAAGTGTGAGCAGCAAATCAATGAACCTTATTTAAGCCATCGTTTATCATGAGCTTGCGAATCATGGAAGTGCCGTGCCATAGGTCCAAATTGGTCACCCGGCATCAACCCCGCTTTCGGGGGGCAAGCAACTTCCATCGTCGGTGCCCTGGTGATTCGATGGTAACGTTTCAGCCATATCCAATGTCCCGGACCCGGCTAAAACAGAAAGAACCGCATTCCCTTTAAATTTATCTATTCCCGAATCTCATGGTTAAAATGACCATCACCAATATTGATCTTAATAGTCATTCTGGATGTTTCTGGATGTTCATTCTGGATTCTGTATGTTTCTGGATATTGATTTCATGGATGAATATTCCCAATAGGGCATCCCAAGATGGCCATCACATCAAGTGTGGGGACCCCCCAAAAAACATCGAAAAATAGGGAACATGATGTGGGGACCATCAAAAAACGATGGCTTGGGACCAAGTGACCCAAAGAAAATCCTATAAATCCGGTAATAGATGGTAATAGCCACACAGAAAAGAATTGGATGGACCACATCTCAATAGCCACAGTTACCCTATTGATAAACCACTGGATTTTGGGGTCCAAGTTACGACTATGTGGAGTTCACCATGAAGAATGAGGATAGGACCAATGACCAGAAAAAAAAAATGGGGATTTCTGTGAGAAAAAAACATGGGGATTTCATGGGATTTCATATGTGATTTAATCAAATCATTCAATTATCCCCATAGAAAGCCCCATGATTTAATATGATTGAATCCCCATGTGATTTACTGGTTGGTGGTGCAATAACCATCTTGAAAAATATTAATGGGAAGGATTATCCCATATATGAAATGGAAAATAAAACATGTTTGAAACCACCAACCAGTTTAAACATTCTCAAATGCCCCAAAAAACAAACTCCCGATCTGCCCTGGACGTCTCCATCTGACGACCCCCAACTGGCCAGTGGCAGGGTGCCAAAGGATCGCCAAGACAGCAACTGGCACCAGCTGTGTAGAGGGCTGGGACTGCTTGATATGATATATCCACATCATCTGTTGTATTCAACATGACATATATAAATCATATATATATATATATCTGGTTGATTGTTTCAACCCCTCTGAAAAATATTAGTCAGTTGGGATGATGACATTCCCAATATATGGAAAAATACAAAATGTTCCAAACCACCAACCAGATATATATGTATACTAATGACAATAATGACAATAAATGACACTGATATATTCCCCTAACAACAATTGTATACATACACGTATAACATGTATGACATGATATGACATGGGCTTTATCAGGATAGGATCATGATATGTTTTTCTGGATATTCTGGGAATTAGTGGAGAAACATCATGATAAGCATGATAATCATCATCATCATCATCATGATGGGATATCTTATGCGATATCTTGCGGATATATGATGGGATAGTTTGTGGATGTTTATGGTATAGAAAACCACCAATACCAACGGATGCTTAACCGGGCATAACCAGCCCACCAGGGCCGTCAGGGCTTCATTTTGGGAGGTTCCTAAACTGATGAACCCAGTTTTTATCATCCAAACGTGTGAATTTGAAAAAAATGAATGGGAACACCACTTCGTTTTGGAGCACCCCCAATTTTGAGGAACATCAAACTTGCTGCTTGCCAGGAAATAGGCTCTCAAAACTTAGCACTGTTTCATGGGGAATAAATACTACCCCAGCTGGAGGCCAACCCATGTGCTGTTTCTAAGGGTGTTTTTACCCAACAATCATTATCACACAGGAAGAGAAAGTATCATTCAACCATCTGATGGTATTTTTTTGGGTAATTTGACATGATTTTACAACATCCCAGTCATAGGTGGTCTACTCAATTTCCAAAAAAAAGGATGACTCCTAGTGGGGGTTTCTGAAGTCATGTGCTGGGGGATACCCCACCCTAGGTTTCAATACCAGTCGTCATGGTCATCCCATGACTTAGGACACCTCCATGACGACTGCTACAATAAAAATCAACCAACCCTGGTAGATTGCAGCTGCGATGTTTCAGAACATATACCCAATACCCATGACGGATCCATGGTGCTGGTATATTAATGCTAACATGACTGGGGTATATTGATGGGATCCATGTTAACATATATGGCAGCACCATGGATCCTATGGGATATGACCCAACATAATTAGCCCCGCTAATATGGAGGTTTTTTGACAGGGATGCCCCATATGTCATCCATGTCACACTCCAGGAGTTGCTCCAGCGCCCCATTTCTACATCTGGGCGCTTTGTCGCATCGCGGTAGCTGGGACGGGCATTTTCCCTCCGGACGACTGGCGGATGGTCAAAAAGTTTCGAACCTGAAAAAGTGGACTTCCGCAACACGGGGATACAACCAATCATTTCCCATAGGATCCATGTATGCCATATATGGTAACATTTACCATCAATCTTAGCATATATACCATACATGGATCCTATGGGTTTAAGATCAAAAACTAGTAGTCAGTAGTCGGAACTTAAATATATCTGTGTGGGTCACTTCATAAGGTTACATGATACCTGACTTGAGATGTCACAACTGTGCCTGCTCACGGTGGTTTTTTCGCCGTCTGTTTCATCACCCATCCACAACAAAAGTTGAGGATTTTTTGCCACTTCAAACAACCGTCATCAACCGTCTGTTTGGGTGATGTTTGAATCCGGACATTTGCCAACCCCTCTTGAAACCTCTGATTTCAGAAGCATTCCAGGTCCGGATTTCCATCCACAGTTGTCCGCAACGAACTCAGCTCGGCGAAGCACAGATGGGTTTGTCAAAAAATGCGGGCCTGCAAGTTATGGCCATTGACACATTTGGTTGTCTTTTTGGGGACCTCAATCTTGAGAAACCCTCGATGTTCAGACAATTCCAGAAAGAAAGTAAACTGTCTTTTGTTTCGAGGCATTTTTTCCGACTATCATGGGCCGAGCCATACGATTTTTTCAAACATTTTCAAACCACATCTGTTTTGCAACATTTTTCTCCCTGATTTCCACTATCAAGTGCTTATCAATTACCCTCTGGTAAACTAACATAACTATGGAAAATCACCATTTTCAATGGGAAAATCCACTATAAATGGCCATTTTCAATAGCAATGTTTGACATAACCAGAGGGTAAATCCACATTTTTTTCATGGTAAAATCCCTGGCTTTTCTCCAAATCTCTGGCTTTTCCTTTTCGGTTTTTTCGACAAACCCCGAGCAACTTCCCCGCACTAACCTTCAAAGGGTGCGGAGGCGGTGTCCTTTTCTCTCCTCAGTCCATGCACGAGTCGGAAGTCTTGGGATCTTGGAAAATGAGATTTACTCAACATGGATCTGGGCGAATTATGATTCACTCACCTGAAATCTTGGGCCATTTTGGGATGATTCCCCTAAAATAAACCATGACAAACCAGGGCTCGGGAGAACAGGGGAGAACAGCGTTATCATCCTCAATTGCTTAGGATCAATAGGAAAACCACCCGGGTACCCCCCCATTTTAGGAAAGCTCCATATATGGTAGGTTCTGTATTAATTATAGTTTTATATACATAAATTAATGGGATATAATTGCATATATATATAAATGGATATAAATGGATCATGTCTAGGCATGTTCGTGATATTAAGGTGTTCAAAAAAACTTGCCGACTCGCCATTCATGATTTCATGGTCCCGCACATGCGATCCATCCATAAAGATGTTTTTCATATTCCAGGTACCAACCACTCTGTCATTAATAAAAATATGCAACATGGAAAATTTTCATCATATGGATCAAGTTGGTTCACTTTCCTGAATTTACTATGTAAACTGAATCGTATTGTATGAGTCAGAGATCAAAGAATTCATTAAAAGGCCCTACAACCCACGTGTTGCTTGAAATCTTAACAGAATACTAAGCCCCCTACGTGGGAACGTCAAATTAACTGGCTAAACACTAAACCATGGTTTCCAGATTCACAAATCCTGTGTTTAGTTTTTCGCTCTTCACAATTCCCAGCGTTGCAGTAGAAGGGTATCTGCACTTCCCATATCTTCCCATATCATATCCTTTGTTATCCTTTTTGTGTCCCTATTGTCCTTGGTTTGACCACCATTTTGTTGCGCCTAAACTCCCTATCAATCCATATATGTTCTCCCATTTCTTCATGAAATGCTCATCCAAACCTAAGTCCACAACGGATGGTGAATGATGGTGATATGACGGTGAGGGCCTTCCCCAATCTTGAAGGGCGATTTTAAATCTAATAAGATCTAATCTAACATAATCACCCCCTATAGTTAATCATCAACCAGATAATCCATATAATCCCCCAATCTCGAGGTTCTTTAATATCCCCTATAGTTAGTTCATCATCTTCAACTGGAAAGCAACAGACCGATGAACGAACGCCACAACGCTCCGAGCGTTTTCGTTCACCATGCGACAGGCATAATCCCAGGCGTTCGACGATGCAATGGCACGCCCGCGCGAATGTTCAGCTGACTCCAAAGACCTGGCGAAGAAAATTTGTCAAACGCCCTGTGCGAAGGGATGGGAACCGGAACCTGACCGATCTGGGATGAGAATGGGATGAGAAATGGTGATTTTCCTATGAAAAATGGTGATTTTCCCATGAACAATAGCCATTTATAATTGATTTATCGATGAAAAATGGTGATTTGGCTCTGTGAAAATAGTACTTCATGGGATTTTCCATGGGATATGAATGGGATGAGAATGGAGATTTAATGGGATAAACATTCACAGTTTGCGAACTTGAAGCCATGGCCTAGTCGAAATAGTTGATTTAGCTATAACAGTGATTTTCCAGTCAGTTTACCAAAGGGCAATGGATTACAACTAATGAATTATAGGCCATGAACTTGGGAGAATCTAATAGAATCTAATGTCCATGAATTTGGGATGAATCTAGTAGAATCTAATAGATTAGCCAATCATCCAGTTCAGTTCCTGAGTATAGAGTAAATGGATGAGATACTTGGATTCTCTAGTGGCTTCCAACATGTTATTTTTTTCGCCCACTTACCAACCAGTGGTAAAAGGATCATTACCCTCTGGTAATTTAACCTAGCTATTGAAAATCACCATATTTAATGGTTATATCATATATATAAATGACCATGTTCCATAGCTATGTTAGTTTACCAGAGGGTAAACCCCATATATCGCCCCCCAAAAAAAACATGATATATAGTCCAATAAAATCGGTGAACAGTGGTATCTCATCAGCGACTATAACTCGACTATCACTATCAAACCTAAGCCACTGTTTGAAAGTGGAACACCACCATTACTGTTTTTTTCAAATAAACCACCAACAAAAAAACAATCTAATTCCATCCATCCAACCAAAAAAAAAGAAACTCCAGGGATTCTATACCCTCCTGTAAACAAACATAGATGTGGAAAAAAAACACCATTTGGGTGGCCTTCCCTATGGATTTTCCACATCTGCCACTGCCAGTTCTAGGGCAAATCCCAGATGATTCCGTATCCCCATCTTCAGTGACATCATTCCGCATCATTTTCCATTGCTCCCAACCACTTTCCAAAATTTTCCGAACAAAAACCACCAAAAACGGTTCCACTTAGTTCATTCAACTACCATTTTCTACCGCCTATCCCTCGATTTCCATCATTTTCCTATAGGAAAAACCGTTTTCCATGGCTTTTCTCATGGTTTTTCCATGGTTTTTCCCAGCATTTCCGCAACGGGACCTGTGTTCAAGAGGTTGTTGACCAGCTCCTCGGGCAGAACTCGATCGTCCTTCACCGGGATGATACGCAAGACATCCTGCGGAGGAAAGGGGAGAACCATTAACCATTGATGTGGGCATTAAGTCATTCATAATGTGGCCCGTTAATGGTGAATATAATGGTTAATCCATGTTAATCCCTGTCTATAATGTAACATAGCTATTGAAAATGGCAATTTATAGTGGATTTTCCCATGAAAAATGGTGATTTTCCATAGTTATTAACTATTGTATATCTAGTGGTACTAACATTAGTTATAAATAATAGGAACTACTATTCACATTAACAGGAACCATTAACCATTAACTATAGTTATAAATAACATGGGTACTAGTCATTATTAAGAATAGGAACCATGTCAAACATTGCTATTGAAAATGACCATAGAAATAGTGGATTTTCCCATGAAAAATGGTGATTTTCCATAGTTATGTTAGTTTACCAGAGGGTACGTCATTCATAATGTGGTCTGTTAATGGTGAGTATAATGGTTAATCCCTATCTATAATGTGGTTAATGAATAAATGAATATCCCTATCTATATGATGGTTAATGAGTATTCCTATCTATAATGTGGTCAATGGTAATGGTTAATAGAATAGTTAATGGTTAATATTAATGGTTAATATCATGGTTAATATAGTTTATTGTTAGTATTCATGGTTAATATCATGGTTATTGATAACCACATTATTATAATAATAGTTAGTGATTAATATAATGTTTAATCCCTATCTAGAATGTAGTTGATGAATATGCCTATCTATAATACTTAGTTTATTATAATGTGGTCATAGTGGTTATAATTGTTAATAGGTAATAATGGTAAGAATAATAATGATCATGAAATTATGGTTATAATAGTAATTAGACATTATTCATGAATAATCATGGTTATAATGTCTAATTTTTAAAAAATATAGTTAATAACGTTATTAATAATGATGGTCAATTTATTAAAATGAATACTACTTAATAATGAATATCCCTATCTATAATACTTAATTTATCATAATGTGGTCATGATGGTTATAATAGTTTCTGTAATAGGTAAAAATGGTAAGAATAATAATGATGATGAAATGATTGTTATAATAGTAATTAGACATTATTCATGAATAATCATGGTTATAATCTCTAATTTTAAAAATGGTTAATAATGTCATTAATAATGATGGTTAATTTATTATAATGAATACTATTTAATAATGGATATCCCTATCTATAATACCCAATTTATTATAATGTGGTCATGATGGTTATAATAGTTAATAGGTAAACACGGTAAGAATAATAATGATGATGAAATGATGGTTATAATAGTAATTAGACATTATTCATGAATAATCATGGTTATAATGTCTAATTTTTAAAAATATGGTTAATAATATTATTAATAATGATGGTTAATTTGTTTTAATGAATAATAGTTGATAATGAATATCCCTATCTATAATACTTAGTTTATTATAATGTGGTCATAATGGTTATAATAGTTAATAGGTAATAATGGTAAGAATAATAATGATCATGAAATTATGGTTATAATAGTAATTAGACATTATTCATGAATATTCATGATTATAATGTCTAATTTTAAAAAATATGGTTAATCATGTCATTAATAATGATGGTCAATTTATTAAAATGAATACTACTTAATAATGAATATCCCTATCTATAATACTTAATTTATCATAATGTGGTCATAATGGCTATAGTTAATAGGTAAAAATAGTAAGGATGATGAAATGATGGTTATAATAGTAATTAGACATTATTCATGAATATTCATGGTTATAATGTCTATTTTTTGAAAATATGGTTAATGATGTCATTAATAATGATGGTTAATTTATCATAATGAATGATAGTTAATAATGAATATCCCTATCTATAATATAGAGATTTATTATAATGTGGTCAATAATATATATAGTATGATACGGTTAGATGGCTATATATGGTTATAGTGGTTATTATACTGGTTATAACCATGCTTATTGTTATATGATCTTTGAATGGATATTGTGAAAATAATGATGTTATACTATATTGATAACCTATCCAGCCATAAATCATTATCATATAGCCATCTAACCGTATCATATAATTATAACTATATGAATGGATATACGGGCTATCAATAATAAAAATAACATGATACGGTTAGATGGCTATATATGGTTATAGTGGTTATTATAATGGTTATTCATGGTTATATGAACATTAATCAAGCCATTATAGTTGATGATTAACCACTAACAACCATGAATAACAATGAACAACCATATATAACATAATATATGAATGTCTATATTTATATTATATTTAATCCTTGTTCATGTCTATAGATGGCTTGCCAAACAGTGTTGACTATAATACTATATATATAGGCAAGATATATCACTGTTGATAAGCATTGGTAACCCTTAATAAACATGAACAGCAATGCGGTAATCATTGTTGATATCATCGTCTATAACCATCTGGTTGGTGGTTTTTCACCACCCCTCTGAAAAATATTAGTCAGTTGGGATGATGAAATTCCCAATATATATATATATATAAATGAAAAATCTTCCAAACCACCAACCAGTATATATTCAATATTGATTAATGGTTATGATATGATGGTTACCACTGTTACTATATACTGGTTATATACAGTTATAGTTATTGTGGTTAAAACAATAATGTCATGTGAATCCCATCCCCCAGTCATCACCATGAATATATGGGTGGGATAAACCACATTATGGTGTTTTTGGATTTACTACAATAGGATTTCTATGGGATTCAAACCATCAAGAATGGGATTGACCTATGGATTTCTATACCATAATTGACATATGGAAAAAAAATGTTCCAAACCACCAACCAGCCATTAAATCCCATAAAACAACCATTTTGGTAGGTTAGTAACCCCACTTTTCTAATGTTCCAGTCACCACCAACCACTATAATCTATAACCATTGATGATATATGGGGATGGGTCAAAACACCGAAAACCCCGAAAACTGTTCACATCAAAATAGCTGTTGGATTTTTTTTTGGATGTTCGTCCCCCAACAGATCCAGCCAGCCATATGGGCGCCATTAATGATGTGATTATTGCAGTTGATATGGCTTTATATGGGTATATATGGAACATCACCATGTTTTTCATAGGTAACATGATAATTATGTTGGTTTATAACGGTTGATATAGGTAAATCATCGAAGTAAATGGGTAATGTTAATCAATGTTCCATAGCTATGTTAAAAATACGGATCCCCAAGTGATCATAGCTTTCAATACTAAAATGGTCTAATGACTTGGATGATTTGGGGGTACCCCCATGACTTACGAAACCGCCATATGAGACCAAATTGCAGGACGTTATAATGGTTTGCTTAGGTTCACCTTGGTTTAGATAGTTTTTGTTTAGATAGTTTACATGACCATAGCTATGTTAAATTACCAGAGGGTGTATTGATCGAAATTGCAGGATGGTGTCAAACATGCTGGTGGCATCTTTGTCACAAGGTGGACAGAAATAGCCATTGGGTCCCATTTACCCGGCCTGGTAAACATACAAAAAGCTATTGAAAATGGCCATTGAAATAGTGGATTTTCCCATGAAAAATGGTGGATCTTTCCATAGTTTTTTGTATGTTTACCAGAGGGTAAATACAGTAAATGCCCAGGGGGAAGTCCTAGCCCATATTCACCAAAGGAAATGCAGTTTCCCCAGCCATTTCCCAACCATTTCCCCAATCGCTTAACACTTAACACTAGCCATCAACTGGATTTATCTGAAAATGTGCTACCCCCAGATCTGATGCTTGAAAACCTAAGCTACCTCATTGAACATCATTGAACAATATATGTGTATTATGTATTTTGAAAATATCATATCTTCGAATGTTGTAGCCCGATCTACGGACAACCCATATCAAAAAATATTGCTTTAGCTATGTATATATATATTTACATATCGTATATGAATATATAATAATCATCAATACTCCCGTTTGTTTTTCCCACATGTTTTCCCAATTTGATTTTGGTTTGTCTGACATTCGGGTATATACCCCAAAATTTAATGATTAATCATCATAACTTAATTATTTTCCCTCTTAAAATCACCATTTGGAGAGTTAATTATATAATCTTCAAGTTTTCAGACGCATCCAACTATCATCCTACTTGTTGGTTAGTGAAAACTCCCAGCACATCCCACCCATTGAACCACATTATATCACCATACTATTCACATATTATATATATATTCCTTTTGGTTATCCACAACTGTTCCCAAGTGAGCAGTGTTTTTCGGAGCCTCTGTCATCCCTTTGAAAAAAAAAAAAACACATACCACACCAATGTATTGGATACAAAAAAAAGCCCAACAAAAAAAAATCAACCGACAGGGCTAAGTTGAGAACTGTTCAACTTGCGCCTTTTTTGGGGTCCCCAAAAAACAGAAAAGATATATCTATAGATTCCCCAGTCATGGAAAAGATGTTCCAATAAGCCACTGGCGAAACGTTTAGCCACGTCAATTGGGATTTCATATTCCCGATCTTATTGCCAATCCCCAATATCATGTGTATTACTAGTCCCCAATCTTATTACTAATCTCATTTGTATTACTAGTCCCCAATCTTATTACTAATCCCCAATTACTCCCAATCTTATTAATCCCAAGCTGATTACTCAGGATTTGAATCCCAAAAAATGGTTTCATCCCAAAAAACGACCCAAAAATCATGACTTTCCAATTGGATCATCTTCAGTTTTCCCTCAAGTTTTGATTTTCGATGGAGTTTTCTCCATATTTTTTCCCTATGAACATGGGGAAAAATCATGGAAACATCATGAGAAATCCCCTCATTTTGCCGAGTTTTCATGGTTTCCTGGTGGTTTTTGACCCATCTTCTCCCCATCTTCCGCTGCGTCACCTCGATGAAAGCCACCTCGTTGTCCGGGTCATCGGAGGCATGGCTCCACTGCGTGCGCAAACACGAGAGGCATTGCTTGCCTCGACAAGATGTCACCATGGCCATTGAATGGGGACTTTTTGATGGTTATAAAGCTACTATAGTGGGGTGGATCACATGGTGATTTTCTTGTGATTTTCGTGATTCATGTTAAATGTTGGTGATTTTCTTGATGGTGATTCAATGGATGGATTAAGTAAGTTATAGTGATAAACACTGGTTGGTGGTTGAGCCACCCCTCTTAAAAATATGAGTTCGTCAGTTGGGATGATGAAATTCCCAATATATACAGTGTATATATATATATATGAAAAATGTTCCAAACCACCAACCAGTATATATTCAATATTGATTAATGGTTATGATATGATGGTTACCATGTTACTATATACTGGTTATATACAGTTATAGTTATTGTGGTTAAAACAATGTCATGTGAATCCCATCCCCCAGTCATCACCATGAATATATGGGTGGGATTCAAACCATCAAGAATGGGATGGTTTATGACATTGTTTTAACCACATTATGGTGTTTTTGGATTTACTACAATAGGATTTCTATGGGATTCAATCCATCAAGAATGGGATTGACCTATGGATTTCTATACCATAATCGAAATTGACAAGAGCTCGCTGCAGTGATTGTTAAAAACACCACTGGTTGTGGTTGCCCGTTGTGGCCGGGAATTTCACCCAGTTTGTGAACTGGAAAATGGTCCATTTACAGATGATTTTCCCGGCTATAAATTAAATAAACCTGCATTTATGGTTGGGATGTTCCAGTTCGCTATGTTAAATAACCAGATTAAACATGATGATTTCCAGTTCGCCAACTCCACCCAGAAGCCCGTCGCGTTCGCCACCGCAAAAAACCAAGGGCCTTTCTTCGGTCCACACAGCTTCTGACTGCCGGTGCCTGGGGTGTGTCCCGTGTGAGATGATATAACCTATGATTGTATATCAGTAAATTTCTAGCAAATATAAATCATAATATATATATATATTATATACAGTATATAATTATATATATACATATGTTTTATAAGTTTCCACTATACTGATCATTTTCTAAGTTTCTATATAAGCTGACTTATAGCTTGGTTAAAGTGTGGGTCTATGGTGGATATAACGAAAATTATTCCTGGGGGTCTCACCTTATGCAATTCCACAAAGCCCATGAATTCCAAACCTCTCTGTGGAGATTGGCGCTTCTGTTCTTCTACTTCCTTATATAATTGGATATACCCTCTGGTTATTTAACATAGCCATGGTATAGATGGCCCACAGAAATAGATGGTTTACCGAACTTAATAGCATGGTGGATCTTTCCATGGCAAACTGTTAGTCATAACCAGATGGTTATTTTTTTAGATCCTATTAAGCCACCATAAAATCCCATTAAACCACCATTAAATGGTGGTGAATCTTTCCATGGCATATGTTGTCATCATGCTCAACAACTACCCCAGATGGTTGTCTCAACCATCGCTGGGGAAATCCCCTGAGGGCCATCGGACCGATGGAAAAAAAACCCAGCCACGGCCAGGAGGATGCTACCCTCTGGTTATGTCAAACATAGCTATTGAACATGATCATTTATAGTGGATGTTCCATGATTTTCCCATTGAAAATTGTGATTTTCCATAGTTTTTTGTATGTTTACCAGAGGGTATCGCATCTTAATCTGCCATTCTTAGAGAAAAAAACGCGTGCTTTTTTCATGTGGATGTGTCGAAAAAAGATTTGGTAGCCCCAAAATCGATTGGTTAATCATCATTTCCATGTTAAAATTGCCATCTGGAGGATAAACACAAATTTTGAGACACACCCGTATCATTTGACCCAACTGTAAACTAACATGTGGAAAACCCACCAATTGTAGATGTGGAAATCATGGGTTTTTCCTCGTAAAAACCCTAAAGTATATCCCATATGATTTCCAAAAAAAATCCCCATGAATCAAATCCCATTCAAAAAACCAGCATTTTTCCAAAAAAATCTCTAGATGTTCATTCATTTTCCGTTGATTCATCCCGAGGTTTTCACCATCTTCATCCATTTTCCCTGGGATTTTCCCTCGGATTTCCACCCCGTTTCACCGGAGAAAACCCACCAAGGCGCCACCGCAGCCGCAGACGTAGCACCAGCGCGCCTCCTCCGCTTCGTCCGAGCCATCGCCTTGCGGATCCCACGGAAAAATGGTGATTTTCATTGTGGATGGTGGATGGGTGATGAACTGGTTGGTGAAATATGATGATTTACCCAGAGAATATGTAAGACCTAGTTTTATCCTAGAGTTAATGGGATATATTATGATATATTAACATTATCCTCTGGTAAATGAACTTGTTGACCCTGTTTTAATAGCCTAGTTTTCATGGAAACTAACTAATCTTCCAAGCCCGATGACTGCCAGGGTCTATGTTAATTTACCAGAGGGTAAATGTTGGTGATTTTTTTTGATGTTAAATGTTGGTGAGGTGATTTTCTTGATGGTGATTAGTGATGGATGGGTTAGGAAGTTATAGTGATAATCACTGGTTACTGGTTGGTGGTTGACTACCCCTCTGAAAAATATGAGTTCGTCAGTTGGGATGATTATTCCCTATATATATATACGCGCAACGCCTGGGTTCTGCCCAGGCGTTGCAGCGTATATATCTACAATTCACAAACAAATGATATTGCAAATTACAGTAATTCCTATGGGAAAAATAACAAAGGTATTAGGGACTATTAAACAAACAAGGTCAAAACACCCGAAATTCCTATGGGAAAAACAAAAACAGCATAATATTTGAAATTTCTATGAGAAAAACAGAAAAGGTACTAGGAAATTTTAAACTCTCAAATCGTAAAACTTAACATTCAATTAGGAAGATCAACAAAGATATTAGGGAATGTTAAACTCCCACCCCCATTAAACCTTAAATTCCTATGGGAAAAACAGCAAAGGTACTAGGGACTATTTAAAAAAAATGGTCAAAACACCCGAAATTCCTATGGGAAAAACAAAAACGGTATTAGGGAATATTAAACTCCAACCCCCGTTAAACTTTACATTCAATTGGGAAGATCAACAAAGATATTAGAGAATATTAAAACTCCCACCGCCGTTAAACTTCTACATTCACTGAAGATCTTCAATAAGGGTTTAATTCTCCCACCCCCGTTAAACTTCTACAGTCATTGAAGATCTTCAATAAGAGTTTAATTCTCCCACCCCCGTTAAACTTCTACAGTCATTGAAGATCTTCAATAAGGGTTTAATTCTCCCACCCCCATTAAGCTTCTACATTCATTGAAGATCTTCAATAAGGGTTTAATTCTCCCACCCCCGTGAAACTTCTGCATTCACTGAAGATCTTCAATAAGGGTTTAATTCTCCCACCCCCGTTAAACTTCTACATGCATTGAAGATCTCCAATAAGGGTTTGATTGATGATGATGATGATGATGATGATGATGCGTCGCCCGTCGTCGTTGCGGGTCCGGGCAGAACCCAGGCATTTGCCGTATATATATATATATATGGAAAAACAAATGTTCCAAACCACCACCCAGATCATTTATAGCGGTTCAACAACTATCCCATCTTGAACTCCAAATCGAAGATTGTCACAATCTGTCACAAATCCTGGATGGGGCTCGAGCGAGCGATAGCGTTCAGTTGAGATATGGCTGCTGAATTCTCTATCTTTTTGTAGATATAACTTATAATATCTTATAATATCTTATAGCATCTTATAACTGAGGGGGCCCCATCCTGTGGGGTTGTAATCCAGTTACTGGAAAGCCCTAGGAATCGGGGATAGCTAGGGTTACTAACCACTGACTAACAAGGATGATTAAATGTTAATGGTGATTAAAAGGGTTGTAATCCAGTTACAAATTTCGGACTAACCCTAGTTAATATTCCGATTTTTAGTGATTCATAGTGATTCATAGTGACTAATGGTGATGAATAGTGACTAGTGATTCTTAATTTCAAATGTTACTGGTGAGGTCTATGTTAGGTCTATGTTAATCTAGTGGAGGGTAAATGTTGTGGGGAATGGTAATTACGTCATGTGCAATTGATGGGGAATTGATTCCATCATACCTTTCGATGTTGATGTTTACCGTAAAAAAAAAAAATCACATTTATTAGGGCTTTAAACCTGGGTTATAACCTTAATCAAGGTTAATACCCATCAACTGGGAAATTGGAGAAATTGATGTCATGGCCATGGAGAATCCCAGTTATTCGGATTCACCCAAGGATCATCGGATGATCTCTTCAAAGAATGGCTGATGTGGCGCCACTGCCAGAAACCATCCCAAAAATATCACGATTTACAAAAAAATGGTTGGTAACAAAATCATCTCCAATATATATATAATATTATATATATATGGCAGGTTTATTGATGGCTTATTTCCACATTCCAAAGAAATTTGACCCTACCAGTACCATATGTGTTTGGTTGTGAAAAGTCCTCGCTCCAATTCTTGGTGGTGGATCCATCACCCCCCAAAACATACCGACAGGCCTCGGTAAATCGTTGCGATTTCGATGGCTGGGCCATGGCTGAAAAATCGCCAACTGAAAAACCCGGCCTGGTTATTTGTTACAGTTCGCCATGGGATTTCGATGGCCCTAATCGAAATAGATGGTTTACCGAACTTAATAGCATGGTGGATCTTTCCATGGCAAACTGTGAATGTCATAACCAGATGGTTATTTTCTTAGATCCTATTAAACCCTACTAAACCACCATAAAATCCCATGAAAAACCACCATTAAATGCTGGTGAATCTTTCCATGGCAAACTGGCTGTCATAACCAGAGGGTAGCACCGTTCGACCAGCCCAATTCCTGGATCTCGGGGGTTGAATCCTCAACGACCCACACATTTTTTTGGTGGGTAAAACAATGCCATGTTTACCATCAATATTAATTGTTGTGGGATTCCATGTAAACCATTGCCAGCCGGCTGGTAAAAATGGCATTGTAGAAAAACCACATTAGATGATATTAAATCCCATTAGATCCCATTAAATCACCACTTTTCATGGTGAAATCCCATGAAACTCCCATGAAAATCCCATGAAACATGGTTTACGAATCCCATGAAAACATGGTTTACCAATCCCATACCCTCTGGTAAACTAACATAACTATGGAAAATCACCATTTTTTATGGGAAAACTCACTATTTCAATGGCCATTTTCAATAGCTATGTTTGACATAACCAGAGGGTACCAATCCCCAGAAAACCTGGTCTCTCCATTCGTTGAATCCGATGTTTTTCGACATCGAAGTCTAACCGGTGCCCAGGCGCCGACCAAGCAATGTCCACAGTACAGCTGGTGGCTGCCGGATCTTCGTCCGCGAGAAATCTGCGGATGCCCGGAACCAGGTGTGGTGCCCCCCAGAAAACGATGGATTTCACCATAGGAAACCATACCCATAGGATCCATGTATGGTATATATGCACCATATATGGTAACATTTACCATCAATATACTCCCAATGTTAGCATATATACCATACATGGATCCTATGGGATAGGAAATTTTAAGAAATAAGATTTGACCAAGAAAAATGGGATTTGATGATGATGGGGTTTAGAACTTATTTATGTTAGCCAAGTTGGTTGAACAAACTCGAAGAACGTTTGGGTTTATGATGGTTTATGGTAGATATATCGAACTAGTTGCTATTAGCTATGGTTTATAGATCAACTTGTACCTGGGGGGGTCACCACCTTGTGGATAGCTTCCAGAATGGTATATCTGATATATCTTATAGTGTTCCAGAAAAAAGTTACAATGGATTTATAAATGTTGCTATAATATATGGGTAAATTATAATATTTCACTAACCTGAATAGTGCGGCCATTGGGGGATGATTCCCCTAAAATAAACCATGATTCCAGGGCTCGGTCGCAGTGAGGTCGTTATAATTTACCCATATAATATAATATAATATAATATATATAAACTCGCGATATTCCATAACTCGCTTACAATAACCATATGATAATGTATATGTTACGTAAGACGAGGCCGTGTCCAACTTTTGGGCACCTGTTTGAATAGAGTGTTACCCGGCCTGGTAAACTAACAAAAAGCTATTGAAAATGGCCATGGAAATAGTGGATTTGCCCATTGAAAATGGTGATTTTCCATAGTTACGTTAGTTTACCAGAGGGTATTATAAACTTAGTCCATCTTGTAACTGGGGTCACAACTCACTTACAGAAAGTAGGAGGCTGGGACTGTCAAATCACCATTTTCAAGCGGAATAAATCATATAAATATATACATATAAATCATCAACGTTCATGGATCATGCTTATCCAATTTTTATAGCAACTGGTAGATGACCAAAGGGATCCAAAGGGATATACCATATGGGCTAATGAATGCCATATGGGCAACCAGTTAAAATGGTAAAGATGTTCCCGGCTCCCGGTTCGCTGGCCCCAAACCCCTCCCCCTCAATGGTATGACCCCCCCCAAAAAAATATCCCATGTGCATGCCATTTGCAGCATTTCAGTCAGGGCCCCCCATCGGAATGCTATTTGCAGGATTTTTGAGCCATACACTTCCTACAAAGTACCTTGGTACTATGACCTGCACGCTGTCTACATACTGCCTTTATTTGCGACCTCAAAAATAACACGGTGACAAAGAAAAATAGACACTAGATGACACTAGCTATTTTTTTATGTACTGCATCAAGCACCTATGCACTTGCAATATTTGGATGTACCAGCAGTACCAGCAAGCACCTAATATGTCCCATACAGTTCCCATACCCCCACAGGGGGCCACAGGGGAACTTGGAGGATCCTCCCAGGTTTGGAAACTGCCAGTGGTGGATCCTGCACCGGCACTTGGATTGCTTCAAGATGGGATAGTTGTCAACCACTATGATTATCACATATGATCACTATCATTTTTTGGGGGGATGCCAATGGTTATACTATGTTATACTATCTCTGTTCTTTCTAACCTCAAGTCCCAGCATATCTCCGGGTTTCGCTGTTTCGGACGCCTTCAACATATCAGAATTCAGTTGGGGCAGCGGCGCGCGAGGCAGAACACTTCGCTTCTGCCTCAACTGGCAGATGTCGAAACAGGCGTAGGGTTGTCTGGCAACACACAACAAAAATGGGATAATACCTTGGAAACCGGCCAAAGATAAGTCTATCTAAAAACTGGATCTATACGTAGATTTTGCCTATGAAACAGGCGCTGTGGAGTTTTTGCTCCGTGTTCGAAAAATTTTAAAAACATGGAGATCTTCGCTGTGTTAAACCACCATACTGGGTACCCCTAATATCCAGTGGATGAAAATATGATGAATCGTCTAATTTTCCCTATGAAAATGGCCATGAGACTCGGCTGATAGTATCAGACATGAAAAAAACTCCCCATGTTCAGACACAGTCATAAATATGTTCAATGGGAATTTCTTCAGGATCCTAATCCTAAAAAATATGGAGCTACGTTAGTTACGTACCATATTTCATATTTCAGGTACCATATTTTGCTGGGAGATCCCCTTAAGCCATTGATATTTTTCTTTCTCAATCGCTGAAGTCCCCATGAATCATCAACCGAGCTTTGGGGGCATCACCCGTGAAAACACAGATGCTGAGTTTGAAAAGGTTGTTGATATTGCTATCCCCTAATAGGCTTTGACCCTATAAAAAACGAAGTCAGCGGATTCGGAAATGATGGATGATAACATGGAAATAGGATGATGGGAATCAAATGAAAAACGAAGTTGTACATAGCTTAGTATACCTCAGTTCTTACTTTACCATGAAATGAATCAAATATCAAGAACTACCACTATCAAGTACCTGAAATTCTTAGTTGATTTACCACGTAGTCGTTCACTATCATCAAATTATCAATTATTACACCACAATCCCAACATATCTCTCAACCCAACATTTCGCGGAAATGGAAACCAACGTCCGCGAAAAAACGTCCGCGAAGCGAAAAAAACGGTCTCAAGGTGCAAATACTTCTGCCAAACTCTGGGGGGGACCGTGGAGCACACAGGTCTCACCAGCCAACCCTCCTGGCGCCAGCATCAGAATGGTCACGAAAATTACCATCACTTGGGGCCTTGGCCCCATTTTCAGAGCCATATTATCATCATATTCCATGGTCAAGTCTTTCAATCCTCATGTTTTTTTAATGGCATTTTTCACAACCAAAAATCCCCATAAAATGGGTAGTTTCAAACCAGTTGAGCAGTGCGAAGAACAGGATTCCCAGTGGATGATAGCAATCCCCAATCGAAAAAAGTGTACCATCTGGTTATGACATTCGCAGTTTGCCATGGAAAGATCCACCATGCTATTAAGTTCTGTAAACCATCTATTTCGATTAGGGCCATCGAAAAAACATGGCTATGGGGTAGTTTTTTACCCCCTATCCCATCCCAATGAACTTCTTGATTAATAGCTATCCCGGATATCCCCCATTTTCTGGACTATAAAACCTTCGGCAAGAAAGCTGGTAGACTCAATGGCCATTTCAGGAACCGAGAACTATTGGAGGTACCGATTCCATATATGTTTGGCCTATTTTTCAGGCCTTAATTTCAGGGGATATAGCCCCAATTCATATGGTACCTGAAATATGGTACGTTTACGTACCTCCATTGATTCAGATCCTGGAGATCTCCCATTGATCTACGAACTCCGGCAAGGATCATGGCTAAATGCCCTACCCCGGATCCATGGTGCTGGCATGCTAACATGACTGGGGTATATTGATGGGATCCATGGAGCACCATATATGGCAGCACCATGGATCCGTCATGGGCTATAAAAGTTATAAATGGTGATCAACTTGTCATCACTCATGAAGTAAGGTGTTGAACACTGTTTCATGGATAAATTACCATAGTTTTCCGCTTAAACCATGACCATGATTTTCCAGCCACTTTTACAAGCGAGCTATTCCACCGGTATTTTTTTCGAACCAGTTGGTTTCTATCATGGTTTGTCAGTCTCCTCAAATCACTACTTGAAATCCAAAGTTGGATATGACAATATGAAATGTATATGTACTGTATATATATATTGGATAGTATATCTCAACAAATCCATGGTCAAATTTGTTACCCCAATAATGGATTGTTGATACTAAAAATGGACTAACATCTGTGGTCCGGACTTTGATTTTGACATATTAGAAGACCATGTTGGCGAAATCCACAGATTTTCGAAGATTTCGGAAAAGTCATAGGGCTACCCCCAGTCACCCATTTGAGATTGGGATCTTCCATGAAATAAACCATCCATAAATAGGGGTACCCCCATGTATGGAAATCCCCATGTGTATATATATATATAATCCCTCCGGTAAACTAACAGTTTGCTATGGAAAATCACCATTTTCCATTGGAAACATCCATTGGAACTCAACCAGTTGGTAAATCATTGGCTCCTGCAAGCTGGCAGCTAGGCGTTTCCGATCCGCCCGTCTGGGGTACCTGTAGCAACAAATGGAGATAACCCGTCATGGCAATTGTAGTGGGTTTTATATCTTCGAGTCATATCATATATACATATATTATGTATATTAAATACTATATACTCTAATATAATATGTATATATATATATTGTATATTATACTATATGATAAATACAATGTAATATAATATGATATATTATAATATATAATATATAATTTTATGTATCATTCCATTTTTTTAAAAATATGTTATATCTTATATTATATTGTGTTATTCTATATATTATATCAAATATTATATATTATATTATATTATATATATCATATATCATATATCATAAATCATAAATCATATATCATATATTATATGTTATATGTTATATATTATATATTATATATGATATATTATATATGATATATTATATATTATGCACACTGGTATGTGGCTTCATCATATACACCACCACATTGGTACTTGGGTTTGTTTCAAAATGGAGGGTGCAACGAAATCGTGCTGAAGACATTGGATAAAATTATGATAAAGCATGAGGACGTTGTCCGAAAATGGCATATGCCTAATTCCACCAGTATCGTAAATGTCATCCTGTTTCCCATTGATTTTTGGGTGCGTAGCCATTTCTGGACAAACCCTGAGATGGAATAGGGCTCCACATATGGATACGACCTTACCTGGCCGTGCGATGGTTTCGTTGGCACTGCTGGTGAAAAGAACTCCACCAGAAGCTCTCCGCTAGTGACTGACTTCCAGCCACTCAAACAAGGTCGTCATTTCAAGCAACACTAAGCAAAACCATGTTCTGGGATCTATTCAAAAAAATTGAAGGGAAAGCTCACGCACATGTAAGGTTACAGACGATTTCTACACGCGATAAGACAAACTCTTCTTTTTCAGGGGTTTTTGCGACCATGGTGCCCCTTAGGAGTGTCCCAAAAAGTGGGGTGTTGGACAATCGTTGGGCAACATCGGAACACCCGATGTATAAATTGTAGATCATGTACCTATTAAAACATATGTGTACTGAGGAAAACTTCGCATTGCCCTACTAGATTAATGGATATGGAGCAAAATTTAAATGATGTTCCATAGAAAACTTAAAATTCATGGCTCCCCTCAAATTATGAGCCATACCATGCCCCAAAATTTGAAAACCGGTAAAATCTACAGTACATCTCATACTGATCATACTGTTGGTTTTTACGACTGCTGCCAGACAATTCTTCGCGGGCCTGGAAGGTTTCAATCTCGCATGTCCTGATGCCATCGAGATACAAAAAAAAGGGGCCTTGATCATCTTCCGTTATCATAAATGTTATCAAACATCACTGGGCTTGAAAACTAGAAGATGGTGATCGGGCTTTCTTTGGCTATATGATGCTAGTCTTAAGTTACCCGACTCTAATTATCCCTAATTCTAAGTCGCTAAGTCATAGCTGGTGAATGGATGTGAAAATTCCCCAAGATATGGGAATATAACTAGCCTCTGGTCTCGTGTCTTCTGGGGTTCTTTAGCTCGCCCATTTGAAGTGAAAAGATCAAAGAAATACCCGCATTCAAATCAATCAAACATGTTCCCTCCAGTCCACGTTTTGGCGCGCGGCACACCATATCTTGGCCAGAAATGCCCTGGGACCCTGCTAGCTGCCATGGGCCAGGGTATTGGTCTTTACAATTTTCGCCTGGTCACCTTTCAGGAACAATCCTGCACCAAGAGTGCACATTGCGACTGTTACCATATATGTATATGTCTGTCGTCCAAATAAACCGTAAGATAATATATAATATATAATTAATATATGTAGATCATATACAAAACATTTTTAATATATATTATATATGTTACATATTTAAAAAAAATACATTATTATATTTAATGTTATTTAGTTAATATATATAATATTTAATATATAACATATTCAATATACATATATAATATTTAAAATATATATAATAGTTATTAATATATATATATTTATTTATTATACATAATGTTTGTGATATATATTTCATATATAATGTAAATAAAAAGTATCTATCATATATTGTAATTTATATATATATATTTATTTATCTATTTATTTATTTATTTAATATAAGAAAGCCTGTGATGCACGGACTGCTGCCAAGGACTGCCGGTTGTGTATTGTAGCGGGGGTTTGTGGAATCCTGCAGGGCGATATTTCGCACCCTTTCTTTTTCCAGCTACTGGATTCAAGGGGCTAGCTGTGGTCGACCTTCTGAGGGAAGTATCGGTATTCAGACAAAACGGTCTTTGAAGAATTGGATGTAGCACAAGGTGAAGAAGTACTCGGATGGGTCAGATGGGTTTGGGTAGGCCCCTTTACTTGTCCTTGGGATTCAATACCAGTGGGCACTTACAGTGGCAATTGTTTGTTTAGGGTCAAAACATTTTAGGCACACACAAGCGGTTGCGCCTAGGCATTTTCCATGATCCCTGTATTTGCCTCTTGGTTGGATATACAACCTGTCTCGGGTTTGTTTGCAGGGGCATCTGTCTAGTCCCTTTTTGTTTTCTCCTTTTCCTTCTTTATTCATGTTTCTGAATTTATGTATTGTTTATATTTTATGGATGTTCTTATTTCATCAATGTTTTTTACACAAGTATGAGAACACTGTAGCAATGTATGAGCATATCTTTAGGATGAACACGGCGTATGCATGTCCTACAGGGTTGTTCAGATACAAGCCGCAGGTTTGCACCTACAGACATTTTGGCGCATTTTTTTGCTAGATGACCAGGTAGCAGAGGCAAGATGTTTGGCCATTGGTTCTCGCAGGGCGAAATTATTGGTTTCTACTGCAAGCAGTGACTTGCATGACCTAGAAGAGTTTTTTTGTTGCTCCACTGGGCAGGGGCGTGTGCAAAGATGTTTGAGTAAGCCCATAGCATTTCCAATCAAGGATTCACGGCTCCTTTCATCGTGCTTTTGAGGGCCATGGCAATGGTGTCTTTGGGCTTTGCTGCTGTTTCCGATGAGAACTTTGAGAAGTGTGTCAAAAACCCTGGCAAGGTGGGTCATCGCGCGCTGAAATGTTTTTTCCCACCTGCCAGGTGAGGGTTGTTAGATTTTATCAGAGCTGTTCGCCTCCTCCTCCTCCTTTTCCGCCTCCTTCTCCTCCTCCTCCGCCTCCTCCTCCTCTTCCTCCTCCTCGTCCTCCAGTTTCTCCTCCACCACCTCTGCATCCACTTCCATGTCCACTTCCGCCTTGCCAACTCTTTGCCAATCTCTTCGCCAACTTCTGCGCGCAGTGGGCCTGCTGGACCTCAACTGCTGGCTTCCGATCTGAGTGAGCGCAGTGGGCACCGCTGGACCTCAACTGCCGGCTTCCGGACCAGTGGGCACCGCTGGACCTCAACCTGGGACCTTCAGAGCTCAGTGGGCACCGCTGGACCTCAAACTGCGACCTTCCGAGCTCAGTGGGCACCGCTGGGCCTCAACGGCCAGATAGAATGCCAGAAGATATGCCAGATAGAACGCCAGATAGCATGTCAGATAGAAGCCAGAAGATATGCCAGATAAAATGCCAGAAAATATGCCAGATAGAATGCCAGAAGATATGCCAGATAGACTGCCAGAAGGTATGCCAGATAGAATGTCAGATAAATGCCAGAAGGTATGCCAGATAAAGATTTGCCAGAATGTTTGCCAGATAGAAGCCAGAAGATTTGCCAGATAGAATGCCAGATAGAATGTCAGAAGATATGCCAGAAGATATGCCAGATAGACTGCCAGAAGATATGACAGATAGAGTGTCAGGTAGAATGCCAGATAGAATGCCAGAAGATATGCCAGATAAAATGCCAGAAGATATGCCAGACAGAATGCTAGAAGGTATGCCAGATAGAATGTCAGATAGAATGCCAGAAAGTATGCCAAATAAAGTGCCAGAATGTTTGCCAGATAGAATGCCAGAAGATTTGCCAGATAGAATGTCAGAAGATATGCCAGAAGATATGCCAGATAGAGTGCCAGAAGATATGCCAGAACATATTGCAGAAGATATGCCAGGTAGAATGCCAGAAGATGTGCCAGATAGATTGCCAGAAGATATGCCAGATAAAATGCCAGAAGATATGTCAGATAGAATGCTAGAAGATTTGCCAGTAACAAAACGTATAAATGTCATGGTGGGGATAACTCGAAGTAGAGTAATTTTTGTCATTGGGCAGCTGGGCAGCTGGCAGGTGTGTGTACAGCACACAAATTTGCATGTTAGCTGTAGCAATGGCGCCAACTTGCTGTGGGTATGCAGTAGAGCTCATGTGAAACTATTTGTTCCTTTTTGCGCGGGGCTTCAAAGGGGTTGGAGCTTTGGTAGGTGGCGCCAGCAAGATCTCTTCTCACCCAGCGTGCACCGGCGGATGCCATCAAGCATGCGCTACGCCAGAAGGCGCGTACTCTGGGAACATCATTATCTGATCCAGATCACATCAGGGAAAAATTACCACCAACCGAAGAATGCTTTGACTTGCTTCTCGCCGACAAGACATGGGTCGTGTTCACATTGGTCTTGCCAGAAGATCATTTCGTCCTGGATTTGAAGAACGGGAAGCTGAAGCAGGTTGGAGCCGGATTTGAGATTCAGGACTGGAACCCTCTGGACCCCAAATGGGGTAGCTCAATGGCATCCAAAGCCCGTCTCGACGTGACAGAACAAAATCTGGCCAGCGTTGAGCCCAGCAAGATGCCTGCACCTCCAGTTTGGACATTCTACATCGGTGTCAGTGGGGACATGGCGGCTCGGATCATTGCAGCCCCAGGGAGGCCCGCGCCTACATCTTGGACCTTTTCGAGCACAGAGAAATGGGGAACCTGGTTCGCAAGCACCCCGGTGAGAGTTTAGAAGTCAAACTTCCGACAATATGGACAGATGAAAAGCAGAGCAGGGAAGAGGCCGAGAGAAGAGAAAGATTAGAAGAGATAAGAGTAGAAGAGAAAGAGTAAGATGCGCGAAAAGGTAGGAAAGTCGCGATTCACTGTGTTTTTCCAATGATTTGTAGCTCTGGAGGGTCGAAAAGTAGGCTCGCTAAAG